AGCGGCTGACAGGCAAAACTCGTGCCATGGGTGCTTGCGGGACTGACGGTATCTGTCTTGGGGCATGGGAGACACTACTGCAGAGGTGGGCAAAATGTGGCCTGTGGGCCGGATGTGGCCTGCCGAGCCATTCTATCCAGCTCGTGGGGCCACTAAAAATTTTAGAAAATTAATATTAATCTGCCCTGGGCTGCCTGTCATCCAGCACTCGATGGCTTGCCAAAACTCATTAAGCAGCCCTTCGCCCAAAATAGCTGCCCACCCCTGCACTACTGCATGCCTGGCTGCTAAGCTACTGTGTTACCAGTTACCAATCAATCATGATTCACTCAGGGACCAGCTAAATACAGGGCACCTAGTGCCATCAATTAGCACCTCCAAAACCAGACTAAGGAGAGCAAAGAATCAATACAGACAATCAACTGCCCCAAGACAGACACAGTCAGTCCCGCAAGCAGCCATGTCACGAGTTTTGGCTGTCAGCAGCTAAGGGTGCCGGGCCCCAGAGCCCCCCTGCACCGATCTCCTCAACAGCTGGCAGGTGTCGTGGCCTCAGCAAGGGCCACCATCCCTGCAGCACCTTAACACACACAGGATCACCCATGTCACGAGTTTTGCTTGTCCACAGCTTGAGGTGCAGTTTCTCCCAAACCCCTGCACCTATCTCCTTGAAACTTGTCAGGCTTTGTGGCCTCAGTAAGAGCTACCACTCCTTGATGGTAAATGTAAAAAAATATAAAGGGAGGCTGCCCACAGACCTTTGCTAGGCCCCAGTCACACTGGCCCCAGACCCCTGGCTGGGCCTCTGTAGTCCACCGGCTGGGTACCCAAAGCCTTATGGGCTAATTGCATGGCTCCAGAACCTTCCCTTTACTATGCCCCATGCCTCATGGATGTTACCAGTACGTTGTCCCTCTGTTGGGACCTCGACCTCCACCTCTTTAATGTAGCTAGGCCTTCTAGCCTAAGCCCACTGAAAAAGACCTGGATTTGAGGCTCTAGCTTCACTTGTCCCTTCAAGTTACCGAGCCTCTGGCTCCTGTATCCTGAGCCCCTGGCCCCTCTGTGGCTGCGCCCTCGCTGGGCACTAATGAGGCCTCTGTCTCCCCTATAGCCTCACCTACAAACCAGCAGTATAAACACAAGCTTCTGGGCTATAACATAAATAACAACATGTAGCATCCTTCCACCACCTTAAGAGTATAAACCTTCACTAACCCAGCGTCCCAGGCTCCCCTGGGCAGGCGCTCTTTCACTTGTG